TTTTCACCAGTTGCTAAAATAACATATATCTTTATTCTTTGAATAAAGAATTTCTGAGTACAGATTTGTAAGAGCAGTATGATTTGTCTAGATGTCAGGGGAATGTAGATGTGAGGCTGTCAGTCTCCCCTGTGATTCACATTAACTGAAGAATCCATCTTTTAGAGAGTAATTCTCTAAACTTTTTATCTCTTGCCCTGAAACTATGTGCCTAGTTGCTGTGACATTTAGGAAATAGAACAGGGAGAGAGTCTTAAGGTTTAGTGCAGTGGTTCTTAAACCTTATCTTGCATCAGAATCACCTGGAAAGTTTGTTAAAACACAGATTACTGGGCTCTACCCCCAGAAAGTCTGAACATTAGGTGTATTATCTATTAGTGTATTACACATTTGCAAACTTAGCAGTTTAAAACAACACACATTTTTTATCTTATAGTTTCTGTAAATCAGGAATTGGGCATGGCTTAGGCAGATCTTCTGCTCAGGATATTTCATAGGCTACAATCAAGGTGTTGGCCAAGACTGGGGTCTCATCTGAAGGCTCAACCAGGGAAGGATCCATTTTCAAGCTCATGTGGTTGTCAGAATTCTCTTCCTTGAGGGTTGTGGCCACCTTGTGGTCATCCTCGGTTTCTTTCTTCATGAGCTTTTCCAGTGTGTCCTCTTGGTTCATCAAAACATGCAAGCTGAAGGTGACAGAGCAAGTTTGCTAGCAAGACAGAAAATGTTACAATCTCTTATAACCTAATCAAGGAAGTGAAATACCCTCAATATTGAGGTATTCTATTGGTTAGAAGCAAATTCTTCAAGAGGAGTGGATGATACAAGGCCATAAATACCAGGAGATGGGGATCATTAGGAGTTACCTTAAAATCTGTCCTCTACAGTAGGCTTGTGGGGTGGGCTGGAGAATTAGCATTTCTTTTTTTTTTTTAATTTCATTTTATTATGTTACATTAGTCACCATACATTACATCATTAGTTTTTGATGTAGTGTTCCATGATTCATTGTTTGTGTATAACACCAAGGGCTCCATGCAGTACATGCCCTCCTTAATACCCATCACCGGGCTAACCTATCCCCCCCACCCCCCTTCCCTCTAAAACCCTCAGTTTGTTTCTCAGAGTCCATAGTCTGAGAATTAGCGTTTCCAACAAGTTTCCCAGGTGACACTGACACTGCTAATCTGGGACTACATTTGAGGACTGCTGGTTTAATGAATATTCTTTTCTGTTTCATCACTCTAATCCTCTACTTTGCCTTCCTTGTGTCTCACTCTGAAGATTCTTTGATGTGATTTCTACAGAAAATAAATCTCCAGTTTCATGGCTTGGGGATGGGGACCTTGGGTAAGAGGAAAGGTTGCCAGACAATTCAGGGTTGGGGAAGGGAACTTGGAGTCCCAACTTTTGTATATATATATACTTTCATTCAGTCTCCATGTTTCTAGCCCAGTTCCACAAACACTGCCTTTCACCGCACTTGATGCCCCCAAGTGCTGGGTTTAGGTGGACTCTCTCCCTAATTCTTTTTGCTGGCATTTGGGTTGAGGCATTTCCCCTACTTCATCAAGTTGGAAACTCTTCTCCCGCAGTGATTTTCCGGTTCCCAAAAAGTTGTTGAAGTCTTTGTCTTCTATTGTTTCCTCTTCTATTTTCTTTTTATGGTATTAAAAAAAAATGTTTTACGGGGCGCCTGGGTGGCTCAGTCATTAAGTGTCTGCCTTCGGCTCAGGTCATGATCCCAGGATCCTGGGATTGAGTCCCACATCGGGCTCCCTGCTCGGTGGGAAGCCTGCTTCTCCCTCTCCCACTCTCCCTGCTTGTGTTCCCTCTCTCGCTCTCTGTTAAAAAATAAATAAAATCTTTTAAAAAAATGTTTTACTATCATTTTAGCATGGTTTGGGGACGAAATTGAGGGGAAAACATGGTCCTTTTTTTTAGCTCCAATTTAAGTCTCTCTAACTTGTGGTGCAAGAAGATTTTTTAAAAAATCTTTGGATAATGATGTTGTATTGCATGTTTTTTGAAAGAAAAATAATCCATTGGGCCATGGTTCAGTTTTTGGTGTCTTTTGTGATCAGAAACACTCACTGGGATAGAGAAGAGCTATAGAAAGAGATGTTTTATAAAATCACAATTTGTTTTAAGAAAAATTTTGTCCATTGTTAAAGGACTACTGAGAGTGAAATGAGGGTAGAACTGAAGCAAGTTTGTTTTAATCAAGCTCATGGTAGGGTGACTAAACAGCTGTTGGAATGAATGCAAAGTAATGTACTTAGATGCTCTACAATTCCTTCACAAGTTATATTTTAAAACAGTAATAGCAATGATGATATTGATATATGTTTTGTATAGTGCACCCTACTTAGGATATTTGAGGAAGTTGCTGTGTATTTTCTAAGCTCCTTTGTAATGATCAGCATTTGACAGAAAAGAAGCCTCAGTTTTACTTGGCAAATTTACAGAAGTAAAAACAGCTGGGATCAATAAGAGGAATGCCAGAGGGGAAAGCCAGCTTCATTTGGCTGCCAGAAGAGGAAATTTGACTCTGGTGAAGGCTCTAATAGAATCTGGAGCAGATGTGAATCTAAAAGATAATGCAGGTTTGGATTCTTGAAATTTTAATTGTGTTTATAACTTGAACTCACTGAAATACACATTTCATCCACCCTTCCCCGGTTTTGATCCTGGCTGCTAACTTTGAACTGTTTTTTTTTAAATATATTATTTAGTTGAATAGTTAAATTTATCTTGGTTTTCACCAGTTGCTAAAATAACCTCCTCTGAAACAGTTTTTAACATACATGTGGGAGCATTCAGAGGAAGTATACAGAATGGGGAGTAAAGGGAGCTTTATTTAGGTCTTTTTCTTGGAGATCTGAATACTAAACTCTGACTTTGGAGAGAGTGCCAATTTTTTCCCATTTCCCTATCCCTTCTCTTTCTCCTCTCTTTAAGTTATTCATTGTTTCTCTCTTTCCTTATTTTTATTTTCAGCCTCCATTTTTAAATTGATCTAACATTTTGCTTGAGCACAAAAAAATCTTGTGTGAGGAGTTAACAGGGAAAAACTCAAAAGATTGATTTCAAGAATCGTATGTCATTTTAGAGGGATATACGACAGTGCAGTGATACAAATGGGGAAGGCAGACTTGATCTTACTCTATTTTAATATCTGAGTTGAAACAAATTGACATGATTAGTTTTACTCTAGTCCCATTATATTTTATATTCTGTGAGTCTTCTGTTTTGGCCCTTGAATCAACAAATATTTTTGATGAGATTGGTTTTCAAAATTGAAACATTTCAAGGCCATAGTTTTCAATATTATTTCTTGTCTAATACATAGTATATACATTTGAATCAATATAGATATTCATTGCATTAGTGCAAATAAGCTTAATAATGAAGATAGTACATGAATGTTGATTTGTAAGCAGCAGCTTGTTTTGTTTTTTTCTTTTTTCCTTTTTTAGGTTGGACACCACTTCATGAGGCATCTAGTGAGGGATCTAATGATATAATTGTAGAGTTGTTAAAAGCTGGTGCTAATGTTAATTGTGAAAATCTAGATGGGATTAATCCCTTACATGATGCTGCTGCCAACGATCATTTAAAGGTACAGTGCACATCAGACTGGGTTCCTCTTACTTTTTCTCATAAAAATGAGTGAAGAAAATTAAGGTATTTCAAACTGAGCACAAAAGTAATTCCTTAAAATAAATGATTTTTAAAACCTACTTAAAATTTTGAATGAAGATAGGATATTGTGTATAGATTGGAAAATCATATTAACTAATGAATTGTTTTTCCATTGTCTCTACCTCATAAAATTCATGTAAGTCAGAATAAAATGAAACGTCTCAGGGTAAACGTAGGCTATACATCTAATATAAATCTAAATCTAATTCCATTTTTAATTGTCTTAAATGATTTGCTGTTGTGATAAAAGAGTCTAATTATAGTGATAATATATGTTGACAGATGTTTTTTAACTCAAAATTTCTCAGTGGGTTTGAGGTTTCAAAGAAATGGGTTAAAATGCATGTTCCTGAGGGTTTGTTGTATATTTTTCTCCTTTGTTTTTCTTAATCAGACAGCCATCACAAAAGAAAATTACTAAGGTCATTATTTCAGTAACACTGAATTTCAAATCTAGACCTTAAAATCCTTAAGATTTTTAAACTCATCTTTGACAAATCTGAGAAGACTTTTATTGTTATCAGTAGGCATGTAGACTTCAGGACTAATCACTGGCTTTGAAAAAATAGTGAAGGAAACCACCACCAATAACAACATATGAAACCAAGGTTCATATAAAAAATACCTTGAACCCCTCACTAACACCAATTTATCTGTCTCTAGATATTTTTAAAACCCTGGTGATTTTTTGTTAATTTTATGAAAGCATATCCCCACTGTTTTCAGCCTAAAGGTAGTCACATGAAGGAATAGTATTGACTTTATGATTTGCAGCAATAAGAGATATAAACTAATGATTAAGAATAATATCAGAAAGGGGCACATGGGTGGCTCAGTTGGTTAAGCATCCAACTCTTGATCTCAACTCAGGTCTTGATCTCAGGGTTGTGAGTTCAAGCCCCGCATTGGGCTCCATCCTGGGCGTGGAGCCTACTTAAAAACAAAACAATATTAATAATACCAGATGGGTGGACTAATGTCCAGAGTGGCTTCTTTTGAGCAAAGAAGCTCTTTGGCCTTTAAGATATTTAAATTAAAAAAGAATCTCAAGGTTATGTGATCATGAAATGGAAGAAGGGAAACAGGAAGAATCATTAAATTAATGAGCTTACTGGTTATATGTACAGGGAAAAGACCACTTAAAGTGAAACCACTTAAATAAGGGCCAAAATTCTGTAGTAGGAAAATCACATTTTTAGACATTATCCTGAAAAATGCAATATAAAACAAAGAAAATTAGGAGGTCCCTAATACCACCTCTTCATTTGGGAATTGATTAGAAGGACTTTCAGAACTCAGCATACAGTTGTGCTCATAGCTAAGATTTCTTTTTTCTTTCCTTTTTTTTTTAAGATTTTATTTGTTTGAGAGAGCATAGGCGGAAGGGTAGAGGGAGAGGGAGAAGTAGTCTCCCCGCTGAGCAGGAGCCCCACGTGGGGCTCGATCCAAGGACCCTGAGATTATGACCTGAGCTGAAGGCAGATGTTTAACCAAATGAGCCACCCAAGCACCCCTCATAGCTAAGATTTCTTACAGCAGCGTAGTAAGGATATGCAGCTGACTCATCAGAAAAAAACACAGGTGGAATCTGAAGGTATTTATGTGAAGGCTTTATTAGGCTGTCTTCCTCATGAGAGGTCACTCACAGCTTACCTTTCCCCCAGCAACAAAAATGTCATTTCCATGTTTCCACTCAAGGGAGACCATTAGAAACTCAGTTTCAAAGATTTATATTGGGGATGGTCATGTAAGCACCCTCTGCCTAGGACATACCAAGATTCCAGACTCCTAAGAGCACAAACCACGTTGCTTATGTAGAATGTTTAAGCAAAGAAAGCTACTGTTATCGATAGGGAAAGTTTTCTATCAACGTAGGGTACTGTTTACCAGCCAAGTTCATTGATGTCAGCTAAAGGCCACACCTTGCAAGCAGCTTCTCTGGATAGCAGTCTCAGGCCTGCTGTGTTAACTCGTTTCTAAGCAGTATTTTGTTTAGGTTCTAATTGCAACATATACTAATTTCTAAATTAGAAAAGAGTGAATAAAGTTTGCTTTCATGGCCTAATTTTTCTGGCAAAATTGTGTGACAGTACAGGATATACTTCATCTCACACTTGATTTTTCTGTACCATTACCTCAAGGAAGTTCTTTTTGCAAAAATTTTGAGAGGTATAATAAGTTTTTCCTAGGTCTTCTGTCAGTCCTTTTATATTCAAATTCTTATGGTATTTCTTTTTTTAGGTTAACAGTTTTACGTTAACAGTTTTAGGTTAATCAGTTTCTGATTCATCAGTGGCTTCACAGGTGCTTCAAGTATTTCTCCAACATTATTTTAATGTTTGACTTCAGGAAATTTTATATCTGAACATTTGGACTTCGTAATCAATTTGTAGTGTATTTCCATTTTATTGTTAGCTGTTTATAACATTGACCAGTAATAAACTGAACAACAAAGCTGTTGACTTGATGGATAGGAAAGATGCCATGTTAGTAAGGAGGGAGGTTATTTGGGTAACATTTTGTAAATGGTTTTCATGAGTGAGAACTTTCCTATTTTGAAGACTCTAGCTTCCTTTATAACAATTTGGTAACTTGAAGGGACAGAGAAAATGATTACTCAGATATAGAGGACCTTCTGTAAAAATAAATGTCAAGAGCTAAAATTAACCACAGAAGATAGAAGGGGAGCTTGGTTTAGTGGATAAGACACTGAACTAGGTATTGGAAAGCCCGAGTTCTAGGCCTAGTTCTGCTTGAGAAAGATATAAATATCTTTACCCCTGAAAAAGGAAATTGATCTAGAGTTGTGCTGTCCTGTACAGCTGTACTGTAGCCATTAGGCACATGTAGGTATTTTAATTTAAATTATTTAAAATTAATTAAATTTGGGCGCCTGGGTGGCTCAGATGGTTAAGCGTCTGCCTTCGGCTCAGGTCATGATCCCAGGGTCCTGGGATCGAGTCCCGCATCGGGCTCCCTGCTCCTTGGGAGCCTGCTTCTCCCTCTGCCTCTCTCTCTCTCTCTCTGTTTCTCATGAATAAATAAATAAAATCTTTAAAAATAAATAAATAAATAAAATTAATTAAATTTAAAAATCAATTCTTCAGTTGCATTAGCCATATTTGAAGTACTCAATAGCTACATGTATCATATTGTATTGGAAGTGGGTACCATGGTGGAAATGTACATTAGAATGCTTCCCTTGTCACAGAAAATTCTGTTGGACAGCTATGGTCTAGAGCAGGGATTGATAAATATTTCTTGTAAAGAGCTAGACAATAAACAGTTTAGTTTTCCTGGGCCACACAGTCTGTATCGTAGCTACTCAACTGTTGTAGTGAAAAAGCAGTCATAGACAATATGTAAATGAGTAAGTATGGATATGCTCAAATAAAACTTTATTTATAAAATCAGACAGCAGACTGGATTTGTCCCATGGGCCAGAGTTTGCTATTGCTTGATCTAAAGAATCACTTGAGTGTCTTCACATAAGTGGCAGTATAGACGAAGTTTGCATTTAGAGTAAACTTCCATATCAATATTGCCTTTATTTTAAGGAGAAATGTTTTATTTGAAAAGAAGGAAGTAGTATTTTTAAGGATATTTTCGTTCCTTGGATACTGATATATTGCCAACATCTTTCCTCATATCTTCATTAATTTTCCTTCCATGTGACGGTTCTTCTATCATTGGCTCATTTTACTTCTAATTTCTTCCCTTTTGTCTTTATTTCTTTATCTTGAGATAGAATATTGATAGATAACCTAGAAAAATTAAAGAGAGAGAGCAGGAGAGGTAAATATATGGTATCATAGACCTAATCAATATCAATTCTATTATAGCCTATACATTTAATTCTTAGATTTTTTTTTTTTACTCTTGCATTACTGCATGGAAAGTTATTCAATCACCTATTTTCCCAACTTTTAACTTCTTTTTATATCTTAATTTCTGTTTTAAGTTATTTTCCAAAATGGTCATGTATTTTATCTTATAAAGCAAAGAGGATAAAAAGATAAGGAAAAGAAGAGTGAGAGGAAGGGACGCCTGGGTGCCTCAGTCGGTTAAGTGGCTGCCTTTAGCCCACGTCATGATCCCAGGGTCCTGGGATCGAGTCCCACATCAGGCTCCTTGCTCAGCTGGGAGCCTGCTTCTCCCTCTCTCTCCCTCTGCTTGTGCTCTCTCTGTCAAATAAATAAAATCTTAAAAATAAATAAATAAAATTAAAAAAGAGTGAGAGGAAAAGAAAAGGGAAAAAGATAAAAAGTGGGTGGGGATGGACATCTACTTTTGTACAGGAAAGACTAGAAAGGACAAGATATACCCTCCCACCTTAACAACTTGAAAGGTGAACAAAATACATAAAATAACAGTTTTGAACCATTGTACAAAATGCAGCACAGGGCAGCAATCCTTGAGAGAAGGGAAGCAGATGAATCCTGTGGTTGCCTTACCGTATGGACTAGAGGGGGTTTCCAGGCTTAGAAAGAGAAAAAACAAACAGTCCTATGGTCTCAAGTTCAGAAGACAGAATTTGGAGTTTAAAAGGCTCAACAGGTAGAATTTATGGGGCAAAATTACAGATAGAAAGGATCTGCATACAGAGAACTTTCCAGAAATTTGAAGGAGAATCCCCTTGATTCTTTGGCTAATCTACAAATACGTTTGAGAAAACTCTGTAAGATTAGGCAAAGAGCCAACAGGAAGGATTGGCAGAACCATTGCTGGAGGTTATAGAGGGCTGAGTAGTTTATGTTTCCACCAGCCAGAATGGCAGGAACTCTTAAAACATGGAAGCATCAAATAGAGGGTATTTCTTGCATAGTTGAGGTAAATTGGTACTAAAAGTTTCTCTGAACTAACCTTAAAATTTGAAAGAAAATGTCAAAAAGATCATACTAATTCCAGTAACCTAAA